TGGACACAGTTTTGGGGGGGGGGGGGGGGGGGAGGAGGAAGAGGAATGGGATTATGGGAGAATAGGCAAAGGAATACAAAATGGTTTTTCATGCTTCGTAAGAGTTCCTAGATTTCAAAACATGTCAATATATGTGGGTATATTAATACTACATTTTATGTATTATCCTCTGTATGTACTTATGGCATACTTCACAGCTGCTAAGAGGCTTTGACTGATAATCAGCAGTTTTTCTTTCTGTATTCTGAATCCTTGTAAAACAATGATTTATGCATTTTCCTTAATCATGAACTGTCGGCAATAAGATAATTTTTCCTTTAAAGAAATAGTTACTAAGTAGCCAGTCTTTTGAATCTCTGTATTTCTGTCGCTTTAAATTCCTTCTATAAATATTACAAATGCCTCTGAATCAAATTTAGGAATCTACAGCCCTGCAGTGTTGTTTTTATTTTAAATAACACTGGTTTTATTGCTTGCTGTGCGCAAGCAACTATTTGGAACAAGTTAGCTTCGTACATTGTTCAGGTTGTTTCATGCTTTGTGGTTCAGTGTTTGTGGTATTTTTTTCCCCGTGTTCCTGCAACTTAAAAAAAAAAATGTTGGCTTTGGTTTTGTAATATGAAAGAAAAGGAAAAAAATTCCAGGATTAATATGTAATTTCACGCTCCTGTCCTAATCCAAAGCCAGTGATTTTAATAGACCATGGATCAGGCCCCCAGATGCTTGCTGCAGACTTCTTAAATCCTAAGTGCATCAATGGAAGTTTGGAATAGTGACTATCCTGGACTAATAATGGTGTTGTGCAACACTGTGGTGACCTCCTGAGGACTAGACGGCCCCCTGAGGTCCCTTCCAACCCTAACTTTTTCCGATTCTACATTTGATCCTGCTGCCTACTAACCATACTTCCAATGCAGATGACATTAGTTTCTGAATTCACGGGAGGGAGGCAGAGGGTGGTGTGGTGTGGCTGTCTTTCTACCAAGCTGTGGCTTTTTCTTTCTAATTTATATTGTCTTCAAAAATAGTTGGCCCCTACCTAGACCGGCTATAATCAGAGGATTGGCTGTCACATCGTCCATGAGCAACGAGGAGATCTCCCATGAACATATTACAATAGAAGCAGCAGACAGTGGCCGTGGAAGCTGGACTTCATGTTCAAGTAGTTCTCATGATAACTTCCAGAATATCCAAATTCAGAAAAGCTGGGATCTCTTGAATTCTTACCGCCACGCTCACTTGGATGGACCTATTGCTGAAGTAGAACCCACAAACTGTTACCCTGAAGAGGCGTATTTGTATTCCGAAGCCTTTTCCAAAAATAATAGGCAGTCCAAAACCAGCATGGAATTGGATCAGTCCCGGCAGAGCTGGGCCTCCTCTAGCTCTCTGTCAGACACGTATGAAACAAACTATGGGACGATTAAGCGGAGAGGGCTGGAGAACTCAACAATGGAGCAGACTGAGATTTTGGACTCTAAACCAGGCACTGATGCAACTTATAAAACTGTTACTTCTAGTACAGAAAAGGGCCTAATAGGTAAGCCAAGTCAAAAACCTATGGAAGCTTCCACATCTGTTTTGCATTTTTATATTAAGTTGTTAACAAATGACATCAGCTTGAAGGACAGGGTTGCATGTTAAATCCAGCTTTGCATGTGGTTTTAATCACAGTAGGATTCAGATAATGTGTTTGCAAACCAACATTTTTTTGGATTAGGAAAATTAAGCTAATAAGGCAGCATGCTTCCTTAGTCTTCTGGGACGACAATTCCTGCACATAGTATCAATGTTCCTTTATTTTTTCGAGGCTCCTTTGGGATCTCCCCTACACCCTCACCATTGTAATCTTTCCTCTGGCAAGGAAGGCTGAACTTGTGAATCTGTCTGCCTTGCTCCATCCATCACCCAGCAAGGGAAGAGGGTGACTGCTGAGTGGTTTAAAGCGCATCGTCCTCTGTAGGCTGAGCATACTGCATCAACACCACTCCTGTGCAGATTCCTTTCCTGTCATCACATTGCACTGCATTAGATTGCACACTGAGAGGGGAAAAACACATTCTCTTCTGCAGAAATATGCCTTCCAAAGATGCATGGTTTTACTGAAAGGCATGCTCTTTCAGACTCTTAGTGAGCAAGGCTGCCAAACTGCTAAGACTAAAGGAATTGGACTATATGCAAAATAAAACATGGAGTAAAGTTTTCTGAAAATAAATGCTTAAATAAGAGTGTATCTGAAACCCAATTTAATTACTAAGCAACTTGCTAAAGGGGTTTACTTTATCATCAAAGGGTAATTGTCTGAGCAGACATCCTTCTGCCACACATTGGGTGGAAGTTTTGTATTGCATTCCTTCTTTCTGGCTGTATGGAAAAAGTGAGTGCATTTAAGTTGGTTTTGTACAAAGCTTCCAGATATACTCCCTTACACATACTCTTCCCTTGTTATCCTGTCATAGCTGCTCATGCATTTTTCATAAGCACCAACATTTTGGCACATAAGCCCCTCAATACATTCTTGCTTATCTCTTAATCCTTTCTACTTCATTTCTCCTTCTGTGTGTACCACACCACCAACTTTTGTTTCTACATGCAGATATAATACATCAGTAAGTAGCTTTCAGCAAATGCATTGCATCCTATTGTAGTAAAAAAGAAAAATAGGTACAGGTTGCTCCTGGTTCACAAATCGCTCTTTAATACTGCAAGCCTGTGAGCCTACCATCTTCAGGCAACACACCAAAGATATTCAAGCTTTATTTCACTACTTGTTTATTTTTGGTGAACTCATTGCCACCAAGGCCTGTAATGATTGCATGAATTCAAAACATCGTGCATAAAAGTGAGACTTTCGCTTGCTTGCCTAAATAATACTGTTGCTGAAAGCCCCACAAGAGAAACGGTAGAAACTGTCTGGTTTGAGGTCTTTAAAACAAAGCAAGACAAAACTCGAAAAACATAAGGAAAAGTTTTGGCAGAATGATTAAACTCTATGGGCTAGTAATTCATTGGCACCTCTGAAGTCTGTGACAAGCAATCTAGGTTTCTTTAACCTGTGCATTTAAAGGAAAGGAATACCGGACAGTGACCTGCCATCCTGGAGCACTTCTTGCATTCCTCATTGCTGTTGGCTGGTATGGACATCAGCTTATGCCTCAGCTGCCTGCCTGCCTTCCTGCCTGCCTGCCTTCCTTCCTTGTGTTGCCACCTTTTTCAGTTATTTCTCATTGACCAGTCTGTCTCCTGCATAGGGTAATTACAAGAGTAAGTAATTAACTATTTTTAGAAGATCTGCACTGTGCTTGGTGTAGAGACTTCTGTATTTACCAGATAATAAACCAGAAACATATCTGTGGTCTGATTTTTAGTGCCTTATGCTTGACTTGCAGAAATGGCCTCTCATGTTTCTGAATACAGTTTAGATTTTAATTGCGAGATATGAAAGCTATGCAATACCCAGTGTTGTAAGACATTCCCTAGGTGTTAATCTAAACTTCACGTGATCACATTCTGCATGCCGCTGTTTCAGCCAGAGAGGCAATTACACGTGGAGATCAGTTCAGTATTTCTTCTGTCAATAGATGGGGAGTGAGAATATTAGCGAATCTGTTCTGGGTGAAGATGGCCCCACATATGAGACTTCTAAAAGAAGAGGAAATCTCAGTGGGAGGAATAAATAAGGGAGTCTCTGAAGACAAAGGGCCAATTTTAATTGAATATATTCTCAATGTGTGAGAACAAGTCAATGAGCCAACAGGACGTGTAAACACTTTTGCTCTTTTTCAAAACCTTCATTTCTATTTAAAAGTGTTTTAGATACAGAATTGAAGTGGCAGCTGTTGAAGTATTTCTCATTTGGCTATCTTCACTTTCCGAGATTTTAAGTGATGCACACAGACAATGATAAGAATTAGGGAGATGCAGTGGTGTGGATACCAGTGGTTGTACTATATACAACTCTTCCGAGGATGGTACCTTTTTGAGTTTAGAATTGGAAGACAGAATTAGTTTTGGGAGCCTAATAAGAAAATTAATGAGATTAATGATGCTTTGCCCTTATATAATGTTCTATTACTCATAGGTTTTTACAAATACTAGCCATGTCAAATATTCTAAATTAGTCTTTAGTTTATACTTTTTTTTTTCAATGATAGTATGTTGATGAGAGACTGCAAGGCCAAATGATCCATAACTTTAGGGTCAAGAAGCTTAGTTTAGTTACATTCTGACTCCATAGGGGCCTTGTCTACAGACATACAAATTAGACAGGTTAAAGTAAAACCATTTTTTAAAATCAGTTAATAAAACCTATGCAGATACCTATGTGGACACAATTCGGTTGACTTCAGTTTGATTTGGCTACTTTGGGAGTCTATACACATGCTCCAGGGTGGTGGGAGGGGGTGCCACTCTTGGAGCCACTTGAATTAAAGCACCCACAGCATTACTTGTATTCAGCATCCTGCATTTCAAAATAGCGGTGGGGATGATTGACACAGAGGCTGCTGGAACACATTAATTAACATGCTCCAGCACACTCAATTGAGTCTGCTCCAGTGCGAGCTAATTAGCACCCGTTGGAGCAGACGTCCAGCGCATGTGTAGGTCCCTTTTATTATTAACCACATGTAGACGATTTAAGCGTGTTCAAGATTTATAACTTCTGCTCCTGTTACCAACTCCAAGTAATGTTTCAGTAGTTATCACTCTTGTTTTCAAACTTGTTTGTTGTAAGCCAGGGGTAAACTGATTATAAACATGTCCATACAAGCTTGTGACTCAAGAAATTGCTTGTTAAAATGATTCTAGATGAATAGATGCAACAAGGTCTAATCTCAAAGAATGTCTGGTGTCATCCTGCATGTTAGCGAGTGCAGTGGAGTATTAAAGCTAGTGCTTTTACAGAATCTCTTTTCTTATTCCTGAAGAGGCTTGGAAGTCTGGAGCTGCCAATCTATGCCTTACCCCCTCACAGACTTATTAAGACCTTGGGCAAGTCACTTAACTGCTCATGTATTTTAATTGCCTAGCCTGAGAATGGAGTTGAAGAGTGCTGTCTCTTAAAAACTACTGTCATAATTTTATTAGTATTTGTAGAGTTCTCTGAAACCTGTAATGGAAGGTGCTATTGAAGTATGGAGAATAATGACTAATAAAATTGCAATTTGAATGTTTCAATGCATTTAAACAACATGAGTGCATCTCCACATGCATTAATGTGCTTTAGTTAATGTGCATTAAATCCAGTACCTCCATTGTGAGGTACTAGGAAACTGTACATTAGCCTATCTTAATGCACATTAACTAAAGAGCACAGTTTTTAATGATGCTTAATGCGCATTAGCCTATTTTAATGCATATTAACTAAATAGCATGTTTCTAGTGATGCTTTAATGCACATTAAAATAGGCTAATGTGTATTAACGTGCAGGTGCACCCCCTAAGACCACAATTGTAATTCGCTTCAATTGACATCTCATGATATGATTTCAGTAGCTCTACTGCAACATCAACTTTTCAAAACAAGTATAAAGTATAAATTTAAAGTTTGCTGCTGTTGTTTTAACCAGTGTTTCTGCATTTGCCTTTTGTTATCAGTTTCTGTTTTGCCATTGTAACATTTCATGATTTTTAATGTTTTATTTCCTTTGTTTTCTTCATTAACATTTCCATTGCTTATTTCTTGTGCCAGTGTACTGTGTCACCTCACCTAAGAAGGACGATAGGTATAGGGAGCCACCGCCCACCCCTCCGGGATATATGGGGATTTCTTTAGCGGACATAAAGGAAGGATCACCCCACCACCCACACTTAAAACCTCCAGACTATAGTGTGGCAGTGCAGAGGTCAAAGATGCTACATAGTGACCTCTCTAGACTTTCATCAGCTTCTCTCAGTAGTGAACCAGTGGCCTGTATTTCATCGAAGATGCCTCAGTGGCATACCCGGCAGCCGTCCCATCCTAAACTAACAGATATGACTGACGCAGATAGTGAAGAGGATGGTATGTTAAAGAACTAACTTGATAGATTTTAAATGAACTGCTGTGTAAATCACTTCTCAGAACTGTGCAAAGTATTTGCCTCACAGGCTAGTTGTTGGGTTTCTTGCTGTCACTTTTTTGAGACTGAATTTTTTTAAGGTCAAATATATCTGACAATTAAATATGCCTTCAAATTCTGAAAAAAAGGTGTGCTGGGCAATCCTGTCACTAAATGGGTGCTTAATTGCAATGTGCTGTGCCTGGAAGGGTGGAACTGAGACGCTCAATCCTTAGCATGCTCTGTTTCTCTTCCACTCCGTACCTGTTCCTTGATCAATTCTGATCACTAAAGGGACACTGTGAGGTTAAATATTTTATTTTAAAATAATTTCCACTTCAAGAATGCTTACATTCCTGAGTGGGGCTCATTGTCCTAGGATTACTTTTTGCATTTTTCTCAGTCTGGACAATGACCGTAAACCAATTTGTGTCATTTTCATAAATTTGGTTTTCATGCACTGAAGCGGCGTTGCAATCTTTAGTGCGTGAACTTTACAGAATTAGATTTGTGGAGAAATAATTGCAAATAAAAAGCATTAAAGGAAGTTTTTTGGTTGTTTCTGGGTCTTGTAAAAGCTTGCTTTTATAAACACTGCATTTTTGGTCAAACTTGAGATGACAGCGTCTCCTTAAACTAAATTTTTCTGCAGTCCTGTTTGAAGCAACTGCCAGTGCTGCATGAACAGTGTATATTCTCTGCAAAAATGCATTGTGCTTGAGATGGCTTAACTCCAAGCTTACCTACCTGTGGTTTTTAAAGCTCCTATTGCCTTATGTGCCACTGCTACCAGCCCTCTTTCCTACTGTCAATGAACCTAAAACTCCTATGCTTTAATATAACGTTGATTTGCTTGAATATTAATCCAGTATAAAACAAGCATGCATTTTGAGCCAATTTTCTTTTTCTGAATAATATGATAATAAATCATTCAGTATATTATATTCATTTACATATCATGATTTAAGTTCATCTGGTAAAATATAAATCAATTAACATTGGTTGAGGTATACAATATTAAGAAATAGTAATACAAAGAGGGCAAGCAATTGCTTCAAGCACTTTATTCCAAACTTTTCAACATGGCTTAGTGAATAACTAAGGTACATGCTGGGTGGTAGATATTTTTTTAAATGATCATATTTATGACATTCTGGTCATTTGTTAGACTCTGGGCGTATCAGAGGGTAGTACAGTCTTCACAAAAGCATCACAAATAATGGGGTGTGAATACTGTTTTGTGCATTCACAGCAGATGTCTGATATAATAATTGACTCTGTTTCTCCTCTTTTACAGAAGATGAACAAGTATCAGCAGTCTAATCATACGGATATCTGTGTCAACCACTTCAAATCATGGGACATGGAAAGAAGGACCATACGATTCTGTTAGCTTGTGCTAACAACTTGCTGCTACTAACCTCAAAAGTTGTATAAGCCTCTGTCGTGGACCAGATGAACCTGGCTGGATCATACATCTTTAACTTGCTTCAGTCTACCACAGTCTAAGAAAACAATTCATGTCTGAGAGAGAGAACAGTTTCTAAGGGGAGTACTGACTGTCTACGTACTGAACATCAGTATCCTGAAAAGGACCAGTTTTAACACATTTGGGACCACCAATTGTCAAGAACCACTTGAAACTTGGGAGCATTATTCTATATGATACCATATAATCCTTTGGTAGATTTCTGTCATAATTATTTTCTACCTGATCATTATAATTGTAAATTGGAGAGTGTTATTTTATGTACTTACTAAAAAAAAAAAAAAAACAA